CCTAACAAAGCCATCGCCCTCGTGCTGCTGAAACACCATCAGCGCTCTTGGCAGCAAACAGCAAGAGACAAGCACGAAGCCAACACAACATTTTAGTATTGATTTCTCTAAGAAATTTAAATCCCGCAGGGCATAAACATCAATTTAATCTGTATGCAGCTACAAAATGGCCTCACTCCCAGTGTTCCTCATTTCAGCCAAAACACTGCTACAACTGGAGTAGAAACATGCTTAGCAGGGAAGGCAAAAGTGACTGACAGAACAAGTAGCCCCGTGTTCCAAATAATTCCTAAGAGTTTTGGAGACCACAGTTATGAAAGCCAGTCAGCCAAAAACATCCACCACCAGAAAAGCCTGTCTCATAGCCTGACACAAAGGCATCCCTGGATCATCCTGAGGACCAGTGGCATCGAGCCTTGCCAAACTGGAGAGCCACTCCATCCTCCAGTGTGCCAACACTGTGCCGTGAAGTGACAGCCTCGCATCTCGCCTTCAGGTTTCTGTGCCTCCACGTGACAACATGAAGGATGAAACACAACTGCTCCATATTGTAGTAATTGATATTCTGGAACTGGCCACCCAGGGAAGCCATGGAGTCACCAGCCCTGGAAGTGTTCAAAAAACAAGTAAACGTGGCACTTTGCAACACGTTTAGTGGGAATGGGTCAAATGTTGGGCTTGGTGATCTTGGAGGTCTTTTCCAACCTCAGTGATTCCATGATTCTATTTTCTGAGCTCCCTTCCCACCATCAGACTGCTTTCCCTGCTTATAAAGAGCCACACATTACTGCTGCCTTCAGCCTGCTGAAAAGAGCATGGGAAGAAACCACCACCTGAAGAAAAGGGAAATTTGTCCCCTTGCAGTTTGCCCTCATGTAATCTTAGACTGAATTCTTCAGATATAGAAGTCTCCTCTCTAATCACTGAGAAATCAGACCCAGCATGCCCTGAGGTTCCCCTTTTCTTTTCCAAGCACTGCAGGATTGCTGTTTTATTCAAGAATGCACCTCATTGAAAAAAATGGGCTTATTCTTACACCAGTGCAAAGCCAAGGCATGTCTGTGTAACCCCAGCCAGTACTTAAGCCCCACGCACGGTCAGTAGAATTCAGAGCACCAACATAATTTGCGAGTGATGGATTTATGTATGTAAGAAACTATAAATTACACAATAATCACAGAAACGGGGGTTTATGGGCAAAGCCTGACTTGTAAAATGAGGCACCTCCTGTCCACCTGCCTCTGCTGATGACAGTTACGTGGCAGAATAAGATTCCTAAAGGTATAAATGGGACAGAACAACACAGTGGACAACTGGAGTACGATGAACTCACTGACAGGCACAACAACATGAAGGCAGAAAGCCCTGTCCAAAGTTTAGAACTTCAACAGAGACTCCAGCCCAGATAATCAGTCCTCCTACAAGGTAGAATTTATTAATTGCTGTTGCAGTCCCACAAAGGCTGATTTAACACAATTCTAACACACATCTGACTCAGTATGTATGGGCTTAGGGCTCAGATTACCAATGACATGAAGGTTTCTACACTGTAGACCAGCATATAATTTAAATATCTATTGACTAGATGTGTGATCAACACCAGAACCCCTAACTGTGTGCTGTTTTCCTTCAGCATATGTAGCATACATCATGACAGTACTTACTTCACCTGATAGTAGGCAGGGGGATAGATTTTGCTCCCAAAAATTATCAGGTTTTTGGTCTTCACTAGGACAGATTCACAAGGTCCAAGCAAGGACCACGGCAACATTTTCTAGTCAGTCAATTTTAGGGTGAGCTTTAGGATTGCTTGGTCAGGAATAGAAGCAATTCTGAAGTGATTGTCAAGATTATTAAAGTATATACTGGCAGATCAGTCTGTACCACTGACAGCTTTATGGCTGCTGTGATCATCTGTGTCACTGAGCTGCAGACACTGTCATTTCTCCACAAAGTTACCATGGTTTTGACTTCAGAGAGTCCCCAAACCATACAGCAAGCATGGCTGTATGTCCAGCCTCTAAACTCCAGTTGGGAGTTCAGCTTTCAGAGGGGGATGGCTGCAAGAGAAGAAGGAAGAGACAAAACAGAAGGTGTTTGTGATACCATCAAAATTCAGGAAAATAAAGGCAGAACGGCAAAACTTCACCTTATCTGCATGAATCTCTGAATGGGAGGATGTAAACAACAGGGACAGACCAAACTTCACTTGTTTGTTTCTAGATTCAACACTCAGTCCACCCCTTAAGCACATAAGCAAAACAGGATACAGGGTGTTACTGAATGATTTCCCCTGAAATCTGATTGAGAAAGATTAGAGCAATTAGAACAGAGTGACACACACTTTTCAAAGCCTTAAATCACAATTAATGTAAGGTTTAACCTTTCTTCTAAGGATCATCTGGTGACTCTGTGCCATTTTCAAAACAAGGCTGACACACACATCCCAGCCTCGAAGACAAAATTCATGAGACAGAATCCCCTGCCCTCTACTGGCACCAGAGCTGCACTGAAAACTGAGCACAAACAGTGCCTGAAGAGCTGTTTTAAGGGGTATTTTAAACTATTATTTGTAATTTACATAAGATCTATAATGTACCAGACACATCCAACTGGGACCAAAACCTCACCTACGAAAGGCTCTTTCAGCATCATTGCACTTCTTCCCACAGCACTAGTGAGACTGAGGATTCAAAATACTGCTCCTGGCAAGATAATACATTCATTAACTGAAAGCAAATTCTAAGGGATTATCTAATGTTTGCCCTGTTCACAGTGCATAACTGAGAACTCCAGATTTTTATTTATTTATTTTTACAAAAATTCTCTCTCACGTACGCTGTTGCTTTTCCGATCGCAGTCATCCAAACTGCATTTGGCCCAAGAACAGAGAGGCAGGTTCATGGCTGCCAAAATAATTTTCCAGCACCTTGGTGCCAGAGCTGGGGAAATTCTTAGCCAGGTTTCTGACTCATATGCACCACACAAATCTCAAGGCACCACAGCAAGGCATTTGTTGTGACTGACCATGTCACGCACCTTTCTGTTACAGATCAATTTAATAGGTGCCATCATATAACTTTTCAGATCTTGTGAGAAGTTATAACTGTATTCTCCCACTGGTTTAAACAAAAGCAACAAAAAGAAAAAAAGGCAAGATTTACACTGCTGTGATTATATTTCTGAATGTAAATCGGCTTGATTCCTGGAAATATCAAAGTAAATTCCCCATGTAGACAAGGCCTAAAAGGAATTGAATAAACACAAGGGTCCTGACTGTGTATTTCATCCAAAAAGTAAATAAGCTTTTAAATCACATTAAAAGGGGGGGAAAAAACCAGCCTGAAAAACAGCAGCTATTAAACAAGAGAAAGTCTGGCAATGCCAGAGTAATTCCCACAATGCTCATCCATACCCTGAAACACATTCTGAACACACCCTGTTTTCGGAGCTGTCACACAACAAATGCAGATGTGAGCCTGCCATCACTACACAAATAACAGAGTATGACATTTAAATAATACCACTAAGGAGAAGTGGGAGATGCACACAGCCTACCCTGTGTACAGCAGTTCTTTTTTAAAGCATCTCATCCCTTAAGTCACCAAATAGCTAAAAAACCCTAGGGCTTCAGCAAAACAAAAGCATAAAATATTCCAAGGAATCTACAGGAACATAATCTAATCACACCTATCTCCTTTTTAGTGTAGGCACCTACAGCACTTAAAAGAAATATTAACGAAGAGTTCTTAAAGCTTATTAAGCCCCATCCTAAAACTAGTTAGATTTTTGGCTATCCTTCTCAGCCTAAATGTATTTACAGATAACTTCTCCCCATTTGTTTCTGTGTCAGGGTTGTGTGATATATTAAATAGTTCTTCTTGCACTCTGGTGCTTGTTTAACCCCCTGGCATTTACAGAGTGAGAGGTGTCCTCTTCAGCCATGAGCTTTCTAGGCTATATAAGCCAAGCCTTTGGTGCAGCAGAATGTAAGAACAAAGGATAAACAGGCATTCTAAACACAATCTATTTGAAACTCTGCCTGTGTCCATAAATAACCTCCCCAAATAAATACAGTTTCAAGTATATAAGAAAATATATAACAGGAAAACCTTTACAGCGTAAATTTATGAGATGGTGTTGTCAAACCTTGTGATTTGTTCCAGTATCTCTATATTTTCTCAACTTTCAGCTCCTGGAGTTCTCTCTTAAAAGTAAACAATAAAAAAATTCTATCCTTCATGATTATTGATAAAGGCCTGAGGTAGGAGTCAAGCACTGGCTTGTGAAGGAGGAGGTCAGGATGTAAATAAAAATAATATGATTTTTAAAAATGAAACATTGATTAAAAACCCTCCAGATGAATTAACTCAGTATTTTTAAGATGCCACTGGCTGATACACTGACAGTAAACACCAGTAAAACATCTTACAGACTTGACTGTATTCTTTTTGCAGAATTGTACACCTAGTAATGATCTGATCCCACTTCTATAGGTAAAACACTGGCTGATTTCGTTGTTCCAATGTGCTAAAACCTATTCATATCATAAATTCTAGGTAGCAGGGTCTATTCCTTTCTAAATCACGAAACAAGGAAAGGGTTTCTGGTTTATTAACAGAAAACTGAGGATTTTCGGAGTTAAAATCTTCTGCTTTAGGCAGAAGGCTGGTCTTCCTTTCCCTTAACAAGCTATTGAAGTCCAAACTCTTATTTAAAAATTGCCAATGCAGCTCAGAAACAATGAGACAGCAAGAACACTCGAAAAAGAAGTCATCTTAAAGTTAAACCACTGGTTCTGCTAAAGTTAACATCTGCAAAACTTTGCACTCAATATACCATCAGTAATTTTTCCAAGAGACTAATGGAGAATTCATACCACTTTCTGTATCCATCAGGCAGGACAGGAATCACAACACTGACATTACTGCCGGGGGCTCCCACCTTTGTGTTTGGTCTCTAGTGTCATTTCCAGTTCTGCAGCTCCTCCTCATACTTACAGACTTTATACCCCAGCTTTTCAGCATGAATCCTCTTGGCCATGAACTGCCCTTCAATCAATGCTCGTATTTCCACTTCCTTTGGAAAGCCCGGAACCTGCATCCAAGAGGGAAGGCATCAAGTTAACACCTTACCCAGCCAAGCTGGAGAGTGGTTATAAAACACAAGGCAGATTTAAAGTTGATTATATCCTTGTCTTCACCCTGAGGTCTTCTTCCATCTAGGCCCCAGGTCTTCACCCATACACACAAGGTGGACCTAAAGACTCACGACAGAGAACCCAATCCAAAACCTCGGTGCTGTTGGCAAATCCACCAAACCTGAAATCGATGCGCAACGGGAAGAGGTTCTGCAGCAAGTTGTAAACTCTTCTCTGTGCATTTCCCAGCACTAAGGGCTGCTTAAGAATCAATAACTCAAAAATATAAAATTAAAGTAAGTAGATAAAATTCAGATGCATTAAGCAATGTCCCAGAAGTTTAAATCTATTTCTGCCTGCACTGAAGTGAAACCGTGTAATCTTTTCATTAATTTATTTAGTTTCTACATATAACATTTTTTCTGTCCTTTCATCAACCAGAATATAAGAAAGGCAACAGAAGCAGGAAAATATTGAACTACAAACAAATGCAAGGAATATTTCACAAGAAGTTGAGCTTTTCCATGCACTGCAGTAAGTGCCTACATCTGTATAACAGGTAGAAGTGATTAAGCATTCACTTAATGGCAAACACTTATGAGGCTAGTGCTACACTGCAAACACAAGATTGTATCAATCTCTGTTCACCTACATGAGGTTTAATCGACTGGGAGTCATGATTGATCAAAGACATCTCTTGAGTTTCAGTATCACCCAGAAAGCCAGACATTAAACAACATCCATTCCACAAAAGAAAAAAAAAAAAAATAAAATAAAAATAAATTAAATTAAATTTAAAAATACACAAAGAACTTCCCATAACTTAATTTCTATTTAATTCCACTTGGATTTGAGCCTGTGTTTACTTGCATACCACTATGTAGCTTGTGGGTTACTCCAAGACATGCAGGACAGCAAAGTGATGTCTTTAGTTTACATACACATTTAGAGCAAGATAAGAGACAAAATATTACAGCCCAAAGTTTCAACACATCCTTATCTGTGCTTCACGAAACTTAGAAGACAAGGACCAAGTCATGTACGTGTCCTAAGCTCTCAATAAGCTTAAAGTTAATCCTGTTTCAGCGACAGTGTTGGTTTCAGTATATCCATGTTTTCCAGTAGAGAAAATATTTCATCAAAAAATACCATATAAGTTCTAGTTCAGACATTGCATTGTAGGTACTCTTAAGCTACAAACCAAATACTTCCTTATGAAAATCATCCCAGGGACTTGCATCAATAACTGGCAACAAGTATCTCAGACAGAAGGGGGGAGGGGGAAGATAATGGCAAAGATTTGTAACCTTGACATCACTCCTTCAAGGTTTGAGTTATTAAATACATTATTACTACCTTTTGATTGTCTCTGTTGAATCTGTGAATCCCAACTGCTTCAGGAGTAATTTCCATCACATCAAAGTAGAAACCTGCATCAAGGAACATTAAAGAGTATCATGTTTGCTCCCAGCCTGAAGTTGGAGTATTATTTCTGCACGCAGCTAAAGTGATAGTAAATGTTTATCACTTATTTGGACATTGGAATCACCGCAGAGCCTGTTTCTTTATTAATTTTAGTCCACACATTTATCAGCTTTAACTTCTTAACAATGCTCTGAGGCACAAGGTGTAATTCCTGGGGCTCTCCAGTGCAGAGCCAGGAGTTGGACTCCAAGGATCCACACCGATCTCTTCCAACTGAGAATATTCTATGATTCTCTCCATTTACAAAATGTGGATCTTTAGTACATCTGGCTCTAGGCATCCCAACAATGTAATGAACACCAAGCCTACAAAAGAGGTCACCAGAACATGCACACACACAAGTAACATAGATAAGACATACTAGCAATAGTCTGAGTAGGCCATATGCGAGGATGAAAGAAACAAACAACACACACAGAAAAAATGGCAAGTTAATAAGAAGAGTACAGGAATATTAGAACACTTCATACACTGGATTAGGTTTCATGAGCTCGTTAGAGAACATCAGATATTTTAAGTCATGAAGCAGAGCCGGTCTCTGAATAGTTTTGATGAGATCTGAAGAAATGCAGCAATGCTTTGTAGACAGCTAGACAAAACCTGTGAAAGGGATTTCTTTTGTGTTGACGGCAAGAGGAGTTGGTAAGAAAAGATATTCAAGAGAGGAGACAAAAAAAAAAAAAAGAAAAAAATGAGGGCAGAAAAACTGAAGAGAATAGCTAAGAAACTAAGGAGAGTTTCTAAGGTGCAGACCTTGGAAAGAGGCTATGCTGCCCTACGAGCTCTCTGATTATTAGGCAAAAAAAAGCCACCAAAATTAATGTTGTGCTTTAGCACACATCACCTTTTTGTCTAAACATTCTGAAAACTTGTCAGCAAGCAAAACTGTGTGTTAAGGATCTGCAGGCCCTGTCAAGGGATGCATATCCCAAAATTTCCTTTCTGACCCCAAACCTCTGCAGAGGCATCTCCTCACACAACAGGGAGTGCGGGGAACAAGGGATAAAAGGGTGAGTGCCTAACCAGTTACACCTTAGCTCTGATTCCCCCAGGCACTCAAATTATGGAGATTACTGCATTTGTACATAGATACTTAGGGATTATTCTAGCATACAGGTTATTGGGGATGAATTCCATGAAACACCCATTTTATAGAGGATTGAGATATCCAAGTGAAAATACGATAACATGTATTTTAAAACTTTAGGGCCCTGTCCTGGTATCCTTGATATCAGTAACAATATTTTCATCAACTTGCAATTTTTTTAATACTGTCTAAATTGGCTGACTTTGGAATTTTAGAATAAGCCTTCCCATTTTCTAAAACACCTGAATTGATTTGTCTTCTAGTGAAAAGAGATTCCTGGTCATTTTAAAACACCACAGAGATTGGATTTGACAGACAACATAACAGAGCTTCTAAAAATGAAAAATCTAATCTCACAGTGTCAAGAGGCTGTACCATAAATTCACTTTTCTAAGGTGTGAAAGTCTTCCATAGCTTAAAGATCTACATTTAAAAACTTTATTACCTACAATTTTTACATTAATTTTACTTATATCAATTCACACCTGGGATGATGGTGATGATTTCAAATCCTGCTCTGCAATGGTTAATTTTATTCTTGATTACACATATGCTCACCTTTCAATAGCTTATTCCAGAGCTATATAATAGACTTGTAAAATGTTAAACTGTAGGAAAGAAAATAACGTAAAACTTCAAATCCATGGGTTTATTAGTATTTTTAAAATATTTCCATTATCATAATCTTGCTTCATTTCATTCTCTTACCCTAACATGGGGAAAAACAGGGTTAAAATGACTCTATGACATGCACTGGGGAAAATGCAGGAAATCTGGGTATCCCTTGAAATTACTGCTTTGTCAACATGCACGAACAAAATGATTGAGAAAGAAATAACATGGAGCTACTTAATCCACTTGGATTGACTCTTCAGAAAAAGAAACAAACTTTAAAGAAAACCTCATCCAAAAATTACCAGTTTTAAACATTCTACAGCTAAGATGTTACTAACACCCTTTCAATGACCAAAAAAGCTACATAATTTTCTTATTTAGTGAATATTGAAGGAAAACACCACCATGACACTTAGGCTGTCAATGGAGCATTATGAATATCCCTTGCTCTACTTAATTCTTGACCTTTATCATCGGTAAAAAGTAGGTACACCACCAGTCAAGTATGTGACCTAGCAAACCCTCAAACTCCCAGCCCTGCCAAGGTTCATACCCAAGTTTCCATTGTTTCCAGCAACAGTTGATGATAAGGCTTTGGAGAATTCATCCCAGGAGCCTGAAGCACAGTCATCTCTGATCCTCTCTCTCATCAGAGAACCATTCTTAAAACTGAAACACACAAAACATACCATATGTATTTTCCAAAACATCTGGCTCCAGATTTTTAAAGCCTTTTGTTCCTTTACTCGGTACTGGTGTTTAGATTATCGCCTGAATAAAGCTGGCCAAGTTAAAAGATACAATCACTTCATTATGGAAAGAGAGGGAGAAAACAAGATAAGAGAGAAAACAAATATCACAGGACATGTTGAGGAAGGCAGTGCAGAGATGCTGGTATACACATCTCCACTGAAGGAGCTTAGATCCAGTCTGGCAGGTCACGCTAAACCCAGCCTAGCCCTGAACAGCTGAGACATCTCCTCAGAGAAGTACCCCGACACCACGCTCCAAAGCTCACTCTGAGATGGCTCTGCAAAGGAGCAGGAAGAGTGTCTCTACGTTGCCTTTATTATTTCAGGAACATGGTACCAGTATGGAACCAGCTTGGGCCCAACAAGACTTATGAGGTCTAGCTCTGTGCCAGGATCTGGCAAAGGAAGGGCACAACAGCTGCATCTGCAGGCTGTGGCCCAGAGCCAGTAAACAAACCATGAAGTAAAATATGCATCTCTTCAGTGTTTATGGTCTTTGCATCCTTTACAAAGTCACTTTCTTTGTGACTATCACACTCCAGCAAAATACTGCAGCACTGGACTCATACCCAGGGGAAAGCAGTTTGAATACTCTCCAGTAAAGAGTTATCAGACCAACTCAGCAGGAGAGGCACAGAAAATGAGGGCAAGGAAATTATTGAACTTGCTCAGTAGCACCAGCTGAAGTTACTTGAGTTTTCTGTATAAATGCTCGGTCTGGTAGCTCAGGCACTCTTCTTCTTCTGAAGGTTCCCTATTAACTCAAATATTCTAGAAATAAAAGGGGCATTGGTGCAAAAGGGACAGTGTCAGATCAGAAATGAGTAGACAGGAGGAACAGGAGCCATTAACTCAGCACTGCCAAGGCCTCCCCCAAACAACACGTTAAGCTGCAGTAAAGAACAGCAGTGTAACAGCTATTCAGAAAAATGCTTCAATATCTCCTTTCCTGTTGCAAGAAGGTTGTTTATACAGCTCTTTTACACAGGAAAAGCAGACCCAAACATATTGGGTAAAAGAGAAACTCAAATGTAAATTTAAAAAAGACCTGCTGAGAAATCACACTATGACACTGAGTAAACTGAGTCAACATCATGCTTTTGAACTCAATTTCATGAGCACTGTTCCCATTGTCATCTACTACTGCACAGGTAAGACTCAACACTACAGCTCAAAGGCAGATCTGATCTTTGCTGAAGTGTTGAGTTACAAGCACCTACAGTCCAGGGGATTTAGACACAAAATTTACTTGCGTATTACTGGAAAATATTTGCCTAAACACTATGACCTGGTTTGGAAGTTTTAGTCTGGAATACAGTGACTCGCTGAGGGCAAACATAGCTTCAGGCCACCTTTCCACCTACTTGGCTGGAGAGGGGCCAAACAACTCCCAGATCACAGCAGCCAAAAGCTACCACGAGGAACATTCTCTCAGCTGGGTTTCTCGAGATCTCACTATTCTCCTCATGCACAGCCTAATATGTCCCTGAACAGCACTGATCATACTCCTCTCTGGAAGAGGAATCTTCACCTACTCCATTATGCCCCCACTGAACCACCAGAAGAGCACAGAAGTTATACAGTGGTCAAGCTCCACACATTTCACATCCTATTTCAGAAGATTTGTTACTCCTGTACATTAAATGTAGTACCTGAGATTCACGGTGAACTGGCTCTACGTGCACACAAAAATAATTTCAGCTTCTTATTGCCATGAGAATTTATCCTCCACAACTCTGCAGTTTCAGTTACTCAAATTAAACAATAGGGATGCTATAACGTTGATGGAAATGTTTCAGCAGTAGATTGCCATATACCGTGGAGAGTGCTGAATGTTCTATTCATTATCATTTTGCAAAAGAAATAAAAAACACTAACACAGAGAAAGAAATATATGTTATTGATCCCAGATGTAAAAAAAAAAAAAAATAAATGGTATTACCATAAAAGTGCCATATATGTTTGAGAATCAACAGGATTGCAGAGGATATGACCTTCTAAGGCAGGAGTTGGCTCTTGGATCCACAGAAACAATGTGTCACTCGTGCCAAGGCTAATCTGGAGAGGGAAAAAAAAAAAAAAAAAAGTAATTGAAGCGTTATCACAATGTGCATGAAAAGCAATACAGAAATTAAATTAAAACCATTTGTTATTACCACTAATTGTTTTTAAATTACACATTAAGTCAATTGGATTCGTGTCGAAGCTAGCTCTGACTCAGGCTGTCATGCCAGTGAAATACATACTAGATGGAGACTTAGGTTTTAATGGAGCATTAGTTAAAAATAGTCACAGGAGTTTACTTAAAATCTTTCAGGCAGCTTACAGATTGATAGAAATACAACAAGTGCAAATCCAATAAACGGAAAATCAACACTGGCAGGTATATTTAACTGATAGCCTACAACTATTTACATTTCATGTATTTCAAGTATTAGAGGATATGGGCAGTTTCCAGGAGTATGTTTTGACTTACTGCAATATCTCCTTCTTGAAGCCTCATCCCTGCCAACGATGCTGAAAGCAAAAAAAAAAAATACCAGATAAAAGGTAGTTCTTTGACTCAATTAAGCCTGTTATATGAGAGGTTGTAATACTCTGGATTCACCATCCCAAAGTTCAACATAAATGGCAAATATGCTCCTGATGGCCTTGGCCTATACACCATAAAAGATGGGCAAAGCATTTGGGTGAGGGAGGGATTTTTAACAAAATCAAAATGCTCAAGACAAAAGACTACAGAGCTACTTGATTATCTAATGATTTATGTATTCAGGTTTAAAATAGAGTGGACTCTTGATTAACAACACACTTTAAAGGAGAAACACTCCCACTTCCATCAGACTACTCACATATTTATTGGACTAAGATAGATTTGAATCTGTAGAAGGAAAAATTGGACTTTTGGGAAATGCAGTTTACCCAACTCCCAGAATATGAATACAAAATATATCATGATGAAGCTTCCATCATGATTCAAACCTGCATATGCTGATGTAATATGGGTGTTTTATTTTCACAGTCTTGAGAAACAGAAAAATTTTCTCTACAGTGAAACAGTCTCCAGGATTCAAAAAACTGACCCTAAATTACCACCTTCCCTTGTGCTGGGATCTATCAGTCTACAAAAGGACAGCTTTAACTCTCAGAGAAAGACAATGAGATCCATCTCCACCTTTTTGCTTGAAAAGATACAATGGCTTTAATTCATATTTTCTAAGCTGAAATGTTAGCAGTTGATAGCAAGGATGGTTTCTTAGGGGCAGGCAAACAAAAACTGAAGTTATCAAGAGGCAAATGAATTCATCCCTGATTACTCAGTAAAAGAGACTTAATTTGTCATACACAGCTCATCCAAGACGTCTCCATCTCAGAAGAACCAGTGATGGAAGGCTGTTGGAAAGAGGAATTAATGCTGATAAACACAATATTCTTTCATTGTATAGGGAGCATCTAAGAATCAGTGAGATTGATTTAGAATTTTAGTACATACATAACCATATTCACTGGATTTTACACAGTTAATCATCTCACCTGGATTGTCTCCTGTAAATGCTACTATTTTACAGTCTGGGCTAAACCCATAACGCTGACTATAATATGGAGAAATGGTCCCCTAAGGAAAGAAAGAAAGAAAGAGCTCAAAAAAATTGCAATGTAATCTAGGAATGTACGACAATATGTTACAACATAGAACTGGGAAAAAAAAATCTAAAATAATTATTTTGTGCGTTCCAGGTATAAATGAATATTAAAAAATTTGACTCGCATTTTTTGTTGTTGTTGAGAACCACACAGAAATACCCTCAGATTAGATATTGAAATAGGATAGTAAATAGCAGAATTTTACCTTTGGGTCTTTCTCCAGTTATTCGCATCAAGTAACATAAACACATCTATCTGTTTTGCACATATACATGAATATTAATACATAGAAATTAGAAATTCAATGCAAACATAAGAGGAAACACAACATTAATATACATCACAGCATCAAATGCTGGAATATGACCCCTATTATTTTAGAGGTCAAGAACTGTGTTCTTTTAAGCCATATCTGATAGCCATAAAAGCCATAGAGAAAAAACAGGAGAAGAAAACTATCTGTACAAGGACATCTATAACAGTTTCTTATATCTTCCTCTCCATTACAGATCAGCACTGAATCCAGAGGGATCAGGTGATGGGTATCTATGCTCTTTTACACGTGCTGGGTAGTAAGACTAAACTCATTTAGTGTAGGAGATGTGAGGCTTGATTTGATTTCACCATTATGCTACATGAACTGAGGAGCTTTAAATATCCCAAATTATTCACAAAGATTACCTCATTAAGTCTACAAACTGTTTAAAACAAGGCCTCTGTCAGGAAATGCAAATGTTGGGTCCTGTTTCTGCAGTAATAAATACCCATGAACAGTTCTGCAGTGACCAGGTGCTTGTGGGCATGAGAGGGAACTCCAAAGATTCTAATCATTGGAGCATAAACCAAAAATACTCTCATCATAGCCCAGAGCATGCAAGAATCCCAGGACATCAAAGTTGTGACGGATGCCAGCTAATGGTTTCCATGCACGGGCTGGCAGACACGTTCACAACACACCTGGAAATGTTAAACCAAGAAGCTTTGCTCTGAGGATAACTGTGCATGCATTGTGTCTCTGTGCACACACAAATACGCTCCAAGAAATGCTTTTAGCACATCTCTCAGCACAAAGCCCCAGCTGTTGCTTCTGACTCCTCTAGGCAGGCACATACCAGGACTGAATGGGATGGGACGGGGCGTCCCAGTCTCTCCTCTAATCCAGGTGCACAAGCATCAAGGCAGGACTTTGACCACACCTTTTCCCAAATCTGCAGCAAGTTCATACCAGAACCTACAAGACAGACCAAAACAGAAAGTGTACAGGATTGAAAGAAGACATCTGCATCAGAAAACTCTGCCAGCAGAAAATTTACGGATGTATATTTTATGTTTAAAGAGAATGGTGTCAGCTCTTCTAAGCATAAAGGATACTGATAATTCAGCATCTGGAGAGCTTTCACCTGGAAAAGTAGGAGAAAATGCTTCCCTGATGCACAATGCCCTAGACAATTCAGTTATTCCCAAATTAAGAGTAAAAATTAAATAAAAATTATGTCTCCTCATCCGCTCCTCCTCAAATCATCCACCTTAGATAAAGACATCACTGCAATTAACTAACGATGATGCAGCACTTTGAAGGTGTGTTGTGCTCACCTGAGACCTAACAGTGAAGAAATAACCCCCTGGGTGGGACGGTTTTACACTACTCCTACCTTTGAGTAGAGAATTCTATAAGCATCTAAATCCAGGCTGACTAATCTTCCTCCATATCAATGTCAAATGACCAAAAAAAACCCAAAAAAACCCACCAAAAAACAAACAAACAAAAAAACGAAACAAAAAATAAAAAAAAACTTAGAAGCCAAAAAAATGCACGAGGACAAATTTTCAAGTGTAGCCTCTAATTTTTAGGTTAGTTTGGAAAGCCCAGTTCTGAATACCAAAGTCAAGATTTTGAGAAAACTGCAACACCTGAGGGCGGGCAACCTTACAACCTAAATAACCAGTTTGGTCACCTACTTCCTCACCAGAACTATCATTAGATCTAAGGAAGGTCTGTGCAGTTTTGGTTTGGTTTCTCATTGCTTTTTCCTCACTGTTTTGTTGCTGGTTTAAAAGTTAATTGAAGTTAGTGGCCAAACCTACATAACATGCTGAGCACTCCACACCCCTTGCTTGCGTTGCTAAGATGTGTTTAAATGCACATTTCATTAGACTTGAAAATCTGTATGTGTTTCTGGTTAGTGCTGCTCAGGGACATGGCAGTCTTATTCCAGATTAACAACATTTTCATTTCAAAGACCATTTAGCCCACGAGTTATTTATCTCAGAAACACAGCCACATTCTTGGTTGAGCAGAGTGGGAAACCTGAAATTTCTTTCCATTCAGTACATCTTTAAAGTCATAACGATGGTGAAGTTGATGCCATATGCAGTGTCTGAGGGACAAAGCTATGCTTGTTATGCTGGTAGAGGGAAAAAAGGACGCAGCCCACATCTCAGCCAGCACATCACAAGGTTGCAGCAGTGCTTACTCTCTGCGGAAGGGCACACACCTGCAACACACTCCACACACACCACTGCTGGTTACACAGCCACGGATGAGCCCACCCTATCAACTCCCAGCAGCCCTTTTTACATAGGCTTAAATACGAGTTGAATAACATTTACAAACGGATTACATATTTGTGCAGTCCAATCCCAAGCTCTGCCAGCCAGGTCTGGACCCAGTGCTCCACACAGTGCTGTAAACAGAAAGTGTTGCGCTCTCCAGCTGAGACACGGGAGTAATCCAAGCCTCTCTCAGTTTCTCTGCGGGAGATCACTCTTAAGAGCTAGATTTAAACCTAGCCATCCCCTTCTTCCCAGGGCAAACTGAGTCCTGCCAAGTTAAACTCAGACCAGAGTCACCATCTGCACTCCTCAGAGGCAGAGGGTGTAAGCAGGTGGGTGTTCAATGCTCTCAGGCATAGGAAGGTTTTCTACGAGGAAATACAAAAATCTGTAACTTTTCCCAGAAAAGCCCCTAATTTAAAAGGCCAAGAACCCCGTCATTGAATTAAATTAATTGTGAGGAACAACATCTTTAAATAAATAGGAATTTTACTAGGGGAAGGTTATTTGTTGTTTTCTGTGGATTCTTTTGGAAAAAAATCATCCTGCTCCAGATCCTCGAGAAACAAGCCTTGAGAAATATTTAACCAGTATTCTTCAATGCCATTTTGCAAGCCATAAGGGCAGCCTCCAATCTTTCCTGCATTAAACAGGAGAATCACTAACCTTTATAACTGAAGGTTTATATTATACCAAAACAACACTTCAGTTTATTGACTTGTAGATATAGTGGCACAAAGACTTTAATGGGCCCTGAGAAAAGAGAGATGAGCTAATTTGCCCCAACCTGAGAAACTCATTTAAAAGATGGGAAACAACTATTTTAGAAGAACGATTAAACTATTGGCCTGGATTCATCCTATCCAGCTGAGGGCATGAGAATCTCTAGTCAATGGAAAATAAAAACCAGAGCTGAATGCTCCTTTAATTATATGAGGAGTGATGCATACTGAGCTCCTAACTTCAGCACCCCTAGTCACAATCTACACCACAAGGTTTAACCTATGAAATTAGTAATAATTTGAGAACTAAGGGAAGAAAACAAACAAAAATCAAAGTCAGCCCTTCAACTTGTCACTCCAAATGGATGTCTCACCAGCAGTGAAGGTCAAAAGCCAAGGCCGTGGTCTAGTAAGGACTGAGAAAAAGGTCAATATGTGGATGAATAGGATTCTGTATTTCAATGCATACTTTCGGCATAAGATGACCAGGAGCACAGTCAGGACTTGCTAATAGTTATTACATATACAAAAGTGTAAGTGCTTGAACACTCTGGGAGATGGGGGTGAATGCAAACACTTTCATTACAAGGATCAAAGGATGCAGACTAACCGGTTTTATTAATCAACAAGGTAAAGATCAATATTTGCACATGTTTATAAGCAGGTAAGTGCCTCTGTATTACAGCCCTCTGGATTGCTTCCTCAGTGAGCTAAAACCACGAGCAGTGTAACTGCTGACACCTCACAAGCTACATTAGGAGTAAATTCAGACCACCACACTCCTTTCGAAAAGGCTTCAGTCCAACACATCCTTTTTCGACACAACAACAAAAAACAAGTATGCTAAGCTATGATTTTCCTAAGGCTCTTAGAAAAGCATTTCAAAAGATAAAGCTTCTCTGGGTCAAGAGCGGAATTGCTGTTCTTTAAGGTGTCTTCTAAAAGAAACAATGCCCCAAGTGTTCAAGTTGTTTAGGTCCCAAATGTGTTTTACTTTTAACATCTGCACAGTATAAATGAAAATCATTCTTCATTCCACTAGAAGGTAATTTCATTTTTTTTAAATAAATCACCCAGGGTGCTCAGCCATTCAAAAGGAGTGATTTGAACCTTAAGAGATTGGACCTTTAAGAAGAAAAGGAAAAAACCCTGAAACTGAATAGCACGTTTCCTACAATAACCTGAGAATTTAGAGAGATAAGTTATTGTGCAGAGCTAAACAATTTGACAGGGTCTTTTAAAGATGATATGACCTGAAGTTAAACCCACAGAAATGAAGAATAGGTCTATTATCTGAACATTATTTTGAGAGATGCATTTTAAACTACAATACACAGGTGCAACTTAAAAGATCAAGTGAATTGCAAGAAATTCTAGATGACAAGAAAACAATTTTTTCAGCTGCATCCAAATAACTGCTGCACACACTATACTTACATTTTATTACTGAAATTAGAATTCTCTCTCATTATGTTAACAGAAGAAAGGAACGAACGAGGCAAAATATAGCTTACAATGCCAGAAAATCTTTTGTCTTGTAAAGAGAACGGTAATTGCTTAGTTCTCTTGTCTTTTTTCACACAATTAATAATCTTACATGCTCTAAACAGGAGATAACATTTACTCAAGTGTTGTAAATATCCAGAGGTGTAACAGAACAGGTTCTCCTGGAGCTCTTTGAAAAACATGACACATTTTCTATGAAAATTTTCCAATTAAGCAAATTTTAATCATCAGTACTTTAAAATATTTTTGGTTTCAACCACTGAAATTTTCATGCTCTGAAACTGAAGAAGTATTTTCTTCCTCCACTTGCTTCCAAACAGAAAAGGAAAAGTAACATTATTAAAAAAAAAAAAAAACTCACACCCAAGATATTTTTGATGTGTATATATATGTATATATATAAAATAATATAAACATTTGAATCAAAATTAACACCTGAAAAATTAAAAGCAACATATTTCTTTATTAAAAAAAAAGCACCTTGAAGATTTGACCATATCTCCTTGAAATACAGGACATGGAGCTATTCTGTGGGTGGCTGAGCAGCTGAAGTGCTCAGTATTTGGGCCTGCTGAGGAGCAAAGTGCAAATCTCTTAACAGTCATTGTTGCCAATAATACACTAAAAAAAAATAAAATTCACCTCTGAAAATATCTGGAAACAGAGCAGGACCAGAAGACTGATGTAACAATCTCACAAGTGCTGCAAAATAAGCATGGATTTCTTTGCAATTTTTAAGGTCTCAAATATAACTGGAAGATCTGATATCGAGTAAGATGTCCATTAGCTAAAATTGAGCTGTCCTGTCTTTTCCTATGAGCTTTGATGGAACAACAAAGGAGAAAAAATGAGTTGGTCTTAACACATGGGTGTCAACTACATCTCTATAATGCAAAAATTCCTTAGAGAGCCTTGTTATCTAACCTTTCAGCTCTGAAATATATCTTCTTCTAGTTTCAGAGAAGGAATCAAAAATGCTATTTAGAAATAGCAGCACAGCTCCCAGGAAAGTGGTTTCCTTTGTAATTGCCATTTAAAATTGCCATTTAAAAGCTGAGTAACTGAGATATCACAAAACAGAAAAGAGAGACAGTAGCCTTGTCACTTTTTTGTCTTTGTTATGATGAATAGAAAGATACAGAAGATTTTTTTTTTTGACTGGGTTTAGTCCTTTTTTGCTTCATTTATTCTTTTTTTTCCTAGTTTATTTTGAAAATATCCTTCTGTTGAAGACCCATACTCCAGTTAGGCGGGGAAAAAATAATCACAATGAACTTCAAGTCCACGTCCTGCACAACTCTGAGCTAAACCAGCAAGAGCAAGAACCAATATCAGAACTCTGAAGTCTAGCTTTAAACATCCTCAACTTTTTGATGCCTTTAAAAGATATTTCAACATTCCTTTATACATCACAAAACAACGAAAGAAGCTACAGTTGCATTTAAGAATCTCCTCTGGGGATCCATTTTACAGAAGTGGTAATCACAGTACGACGGGGACAGATGAGCACAGCTGACAGCACTGTCAAAAGCAGCAACAAACTGAAAGGAGGAACTTAGCTTAAAATCTAACATGCTTGTCCTTGATGTTTAAAGACTCTAAACAAGTAGCATAGACCTTGTCCCCCCTTTAAATGTAAGGTGGGGATGGAGAGGAAAATTTCCTTGTTGAATTGTTACTACGAGGAAAGCCCACGTACTTACCATCACTGTAATCAATGGGTGCATAAGTTCCCAGGAAAAGGGAAGCTGCAAAGCTACTAACCAAGGAGATTCTCTGCAAGAAAAAAGTGAGTCCCATCAGTATTCACTTCAAAGAAAGTAAATAATTAGGTAATTGAAAGCAGAAGATGTTAACAGGTGTTTAATGTTAGGCACAGAAAGCGCACAAAAATACACCTAGAAGGATTATTCAGTTCTGACTGTCTCGGTAATACAGCAGATATCAATCTAAAAGTAACTGCATTATAAGAGCTGTTAATAGCTTTGCATTCTGAACATGCAAAACACATCTAGTATATTAGCATACTCTGTGTTATCATTAATTAATTCACAACTTCGTTGTATTACCTAGTCTCATTTAAAGGAAAAACACTTTCTAAAGAAAAAAAAAAAAAAAAACCTAAACCACAAAGCTACCTGTGTGCTGATCATGCTCTGGTCCACCCAGAGCACAGGTCTGTAAGCTTTTTAGAAGCTCTGACAAAGTTCTGCCAGACCTTCATGTGACCCCTTGCCTTCCTCCCAGGAATTACTCCCAGGAGCTGGTAATAATAGGCCTTGAACTGGACCACTACCTGCAGCTCTGCCTCCCAGGGTATATTTCAACTGCATTAAATCCAGCTGTAGGGCTTCTAATACTGGCCAAAAAATGCCCCAGCCATAGGACACAACTCAATGATCCGACACGAACTTGCTTCCACTTCACATCTGCCATGTGAACTCTCAAGCTAATCAACCACTCCCAAGCTTTCTGCATGATCCAGTGTTGTCTGTTGCCAAGAAGCTGGCACGGAAGCTGACAAATTTCGTATTCTCTGCTGTGACTAGTTCAGAAGAAATATGATTGTCACCCAGTCACTGAACAGAATCAAATCTCTACTGGTCGAGGGAGCCAGCAGTGACAGGTGTTTTATTAATGATCACACACCCACTGCTCCACACAGCATTCAAGGTCAGCCCACAGCCAGAGCCCTGAGAGGTGGTTATAATGGTCGGGAAATTTAATGACGCTCTTCATGCTCCTCTCCCCAAGAATATATCACATTTTGCTTAGATAACAAAGGCCTACCTTCTGTGGTGCCCCACTGGGCACTAGCTGCCTGAAATGGAAGGGAGAAGGAGGAAGTTAAACTGTGAATCAGCCAGTTTAGCAAGCTGACCTGCAGGAGGAAGCACATCCACCTTCCACGTGTGGTTGAGATTACCAAGCTGCCAACAGCTCTAGTGCTCCTTCTTGAGGGTCACCGAGAGCAACGCTGGCAGGGAGATATTTTGGACTCGATCACAACATCTTGCATGAGCTTTACTGCTAAAAGGTGCCATCAGTGCAACCAGCCCTCAAAGTCTGAAATTGGCCTGACTGGTTCTCCATTCCACAGACCCATTTCCCCCCCACTAATGTATGTTTCTCTAAATTAAGTCTCAAGCTTATGGTCAGACTCTATTAATGTTCTGTTTCATCCCATATCTTACTAGTGTAAAGCTTATACATTGAGAATGTGCAAAAACATGAAGAAAAAAAATTAAAAATTAAGCACTCTCACACAAAATATAGATCAACTTTGCAACTCACTTTCTCATGAAATTAACTGTTTCATGCAGGGGTGAGATCTTAAAAAACACAAAAAAATATGATTAATGCTACCAAGAACAGCAGTAATACAAAATCAGGAGTGGCCTGGCTTCACAGGTCTGGATGTTTGGCATATTCAAATCATAGGACAAGGGTTTTTCTCTCATTTACATCATTTTTCCATGGAGTTTTTACTTGCTTCAAGCCATGGCACTTCAGTGACAGCTAGATGCAGAGACACCAAACTGAAACAGTAATGGAATTGCAAGTTGATTTCTGAATATTAAAAATCAGAAGGAAAACAATAATTTGTACTAATAGAATCAAAGTAATTCCTCAGTGGAAAATGGAACTTCATGAGGTTTGTTTGCACAGGCCCACCTCTCCAGCCTCTCCAGGTCCCCTTCCCTTCAGTGTGTTGACTGCAAACTTGCTGAGGGTGCATCAGTCCCACTGCCCATGTTGTGACAAAGACATTGAACAGCACCAGTCTGAACACCAACCCCCGAGGAAACACACTCATCACTGGTTTCCACCTGGACATTGATCCCTTGATCCCAACTCTTTGAGTGCAGCCATCCAGCTAATTCCTTATCCACCAACTGGTCCATTCATCAAATCCATGTCTCTCCAGTTTAGAGACAAGGATGTTGTATCAAGTATTTTGCACAAATCCAGACAGGTGACATCAGTTGCTCTTCCCTCATCCACTGATGCTGTAACCCCATTGCAGAAGGCACCAAATTTGTAAGGCATGATTTGCCCTAGGTGAAGCTTTGTCTGTCACCAACCACCTCCTTATTTTCCATGTGCCTTAGCACAGTTTCCAGGATGATCTGCTCTATGCCAGGAACAGAAGTGAGACTGACTGGCCTGTAGTTTCCTGGCTCTTCCTTATTTCCCTTTGTAAAAATAGAGGCTATGTTTCCCCTTTTCCAGTCAGTGGGAACTTCACCAAACTGCTGTAACTTCTCAAACATGATGGATAGTGGCTTAGCCATTTTGTCAACCAGTCCCCTCAGGACCCATGGACATATCTCATCAGGTCCCACGGACTTGTGCACCTTCAGGTTCCTTAGATGGTCTTGAACCTGATTTCTCCTACTCTGGGTGGTTCTTCATTGTCCCAGTCCCTGCCTTTGCCTTCTGTGACTCAGGTGGTGTGCCTGGAGCTCTTCCCAGTGAAGATCAAGGCAAAAAAGTCATTGAGTACCAGGCCTTCTTCATAGCCTGGGTAACCAGGTCTCCCACTTCCTTTCAGAGAGGGCCAACATTTTTCCAAGTCTTCCTTTTATAACCAACATACCCATGGAACTTTTTCTTGTTGCCCTTGATGTCCCTGCCAGATTTAATTTTTTCAGGGTTTTAGCTTACCTAACCTGATCCCTGACTGCTCAGACAATCTCTCTGTAATTTTTTCAGTTCACCTGCCCTCACTTCCACCCTCTGTAGGATTGCTTTCTGTGTTTGAGTTTGTCCAGGAGCTCCTTGTTCATCCACACAGGCTTTCTGGTGTTTTTGCCTGACTTAACTCTTTGTTGGGATGTATCCCTTCGGAGCTCAGAGGAGGTGATTTTTTAATATTAATCCACTTGCAAGAGCTTATATCCTTCCATTCCAACATTCCAATCACAGGAGCCATCCCGCCATGTCTCCGTGATGCCAGTAGGATCATAATCCTGCAGGTGTGTGCACATCTCTAACTCCTCTTCTTTGTACTCCATGTGTTTGCACAGGCATTAAAGCTGAGCCCCCAGTGAAGGAGACTTACTGGCTGATGCTGGTCTACAGGTGTCCTCCTGCCATCCCTCTCCAGGCTCTGGGTATCTATTTTCAGCACTGGCATCAAAGTGCTAGAACAGGGATGGATTGAGGTTCCTCTCCCCCGGCAACTTCAGTTTAAAGCTCTGCTCACCAGCTTGACAAATACAGCATTCATAATAGAACTGATGTCTGGTTTTTATCTGCCCAGCCACTAATAATTTAACAAAGCAAAAGTACAAAATAAAATTTTCAAATTTGAGCTTAAATTCAAACACAAGAATCAAAATACTCTTCGGTAAAAAGGTCTGTAAAAACATCCCCACAAAATTAATTTTAAAAGATTTTCAACTGTGTTTGCCAATAAGGATATTGAAGTTAAGCCAACCTCAGTTTGCTTGTAGACCTCAGGATTCTGGCTGTAAATCTTTGCTATCTGGTTTCCTGTAAAACGCTGAGAAAGAAATGCAAACGCTTAGAAACACAAACCCTAAATGGAGTCAATAATCATTAACTCTGTGTAATGAGTTCAGTACATTGCACTTTGGATATTTAATTTGCCTGATGCATGATGAAAGTCAGTGCACAGCAGGCAATCTGCACTAAACAGGGTATAACACATAGTCTCATTATGGGAATTTTGTTCACCTTTCAAAAAAAAAGCAAGAGAAAAAGCATTACTATCCCTAGTTTACATTTCAGAAATGACAGTTCAATGGAATGAATCACACTTACACTGTGCACAGGCAGCAGCACAATTCAAATGCTGCCTTCAAATCCTTGAAAAGCTTTAAGCTATATGATCTATGTACCTGCCTGCGAGGCAGGTAAATTGGGAGCAAATCAGGAGGTTTCATATTCAAAGCAACAACTCCAGCATAGGGTAAAAATAGCTGCAAGAATACATTTTTTTTTAATCCAAATATTATATCACATAATAAAAAAAACCCTTATAACACTGAAACCTTAACATTCAGCAAGTTAAAAATAAATTGCTAGTGGCATGTGAAGTCTGATTTCAACACTGGCCATAAACCTTGCATGACGATCCAAAAACAGAATCAACTATTTGGGAGCTTAAAGCCTTATTCTGTTGAACCAAAAGTATGAGTAAGCCAGGTGCTGAGATGCCTCCAGGGAATATTAAAAGGCTAATCTTTAAATTGCAGAAGTAACCCAGACCAGTGATCCACAAATCAGTGGATGGATTTACCCCAAATAAACCTGTAACACAAACTGGATTTCCATCCCAATGGAAATGTGGCTGCACAAGATGCTCCCAGGGGACAACCAGGCCCTGAGACCGCAAGCATGGCCACCAAGCAGTGTATTTGGGAACCACTAGGCAAATGCTCACTCCAACTGCCTCCTGCAGCAAAATTTCCAGTGTTTGGTTAATTTCACTGTAAAATTTCCACATCTTCTTTGGTGAAACGACTGCAAAAACTCCCTCTTTCACAGTTAATGGCTGATGATTACCTGCTGCCCTGTGATGGCAGCATTTTTCCCATCACAAGGCTCTGCTGAGGACTTTCTCCCCACCCATTCCTCACCTCATAGGCCCGGGAGCCCGTGATACTCGCCAGGTGCTGGGCTCCCCCCACGGCTTCCTCCAGGGCACTGCACTGGGAAGCTGTGCTGGAATCCATCCATATGGGACTGTTACTGACAGAAAAACACCCCTGTAATGAACAATGCCCTTTATTAGTAAGTCTGATCTCTGAGAAATCCCCGCTAGAGTAATAAAAATACGGCAGCTGTACGTATCAGCTCACTGCTCAGTTCTCTGAGGTGCCTTCTGGTCTCCTCTTGATAATTACAAAAAGAAGGTTTTTGGCAGCACGTTAGTCAGTGGTGAAAAGTTCAACCCAAACTTTGCATCAGAGGGAAGCAACAGGCTTTTTCTGCTGTTCCTTGTCAGACCCTGCAGCACGATGTCTCAGCACACTCCCCCAGTAGCCAAAACCCCAGCTCCTTTTAGAACTCCTCTCCGAACAATCAGATTGTCTTTCCACAGCTCCACTAACAGATTTCTCCATAATGGCTGGCATAATCATTTGCAAATACAACTGTGACTTAGTACATCACCAGAGAGCGTTTTAATGCCATTTCCATGAGTTTGGCATGGATGAGACACAGTTCCAAAACTAATCATTTAATACATCAGTTACACAAAAGTCTCCCTTTCAACATACAACCATCCGTTCTGACCATGAAGTAAGGAAGGTAAGGGTTTTCCAGGAGAACATTGATTCCTCCCTATTATTCTTTTTAAATAAAAGTTTATCGATTGCTCACATATAAAATGTTTGGGTTCAACAATGTACTTGTTAGGAGTTTGTGTCCACAGAGCATTACATTCCATCCTTTCAGAGTAAGTGTAAACTCAGCTATTTATTTTATATATTTTATATATTTACATATTTATATATCAGTATATTTTTATTATAATTATAAAATATATTATTTTTAAATATATAAAATCTAATGAAATCACAAGCACTGAAAGTAAATTCAGGTACAGTGGTCTTTTTCATAAACATTTTTGGTCAATACAAATATATACATATATATATATATAAACAAAAAATTAAGTATTTACAGGCTGTTTACAAAAAGATTACGTTTCCTAGAAGAACAAACAGTCTGTTACTCTGGCACAGAAAGATTCTGGGACACTCACTGGCACCTGTAAGCATTTAAAGAAGAAAATTTACATTTACAGAAGAAAATAAAATGTCAAAAGCCCTGGAGCTGAAGGAATAACTACTACATTTCGTTTATGCTGCAGGGGCATGAGACTCAGCCAAACAAAAGGAAAGGTTTGCAAGGAGAAAATCAATGTGTAAGCATCAGAAAAAGGACAGTGTAGCTCTTCCTTCAGAGATTTTCTGCACATTACCTTTAGTGACTGATGTAAAGGCAGTTCAGGTGATGCATTCTTTAAAATTTGGATGCTTCCTTTTTTCCAGTACACACTCCCATGTTGCTGTAGGGAATACAAAAACAGAGGTTGGAGATGCCCTCCCAAACTGCAAATTTCATGTCCTGATCTGAATTTTAAACTTTAAGGGACAAGAGAACTCTCTTCAAACTAGGACCAAAAAATGCACCTTTTCAAATCAGGTGTGTCATTAAAAGACTCTGAGATTGAGCAAACCATATACTAAACCAGAAAATTATTTTGACCGACTGAAAACACTAGTGGGAACTGTTAATACTGCTGATGGCATTAGATACTTCTTTGAAGGCTCTTTGAGCTGTAGCCAGGGCTCCACAATCAAGACTTAGTTCTGTGCTACTTCAGCACAGCTCCCTGATTCATCAGTGACATGCCTGCCCACATCGTTGGAGGCTGGCTAGAATAAAGGGAATACAGGCAATCTGGAAATACACTTCCTTTTTTCACCTGTGTAAGTTGGGGTTACTTGTAAGTCCCTGACCTCTGTTCCACTGAAGAATTCATAACAGAGACCTTGATACCAGCTATGATTTTCAGACACTTTGCTCAGACTTTCAACTGCAATCATTGAAACAGGGAGATCAAAGCAAGAGTTTTGATTAATTAGTCCCAGCAAAACCAAGATGAATAACCTAAACCTCATATGTCAGAATCAGCTATCACTTTGGTGCTGTCCTCACCCTGGATATCATCCGAGAAATGCTGTTTCACCAGAGAACCAGGAGACTGGCTCACTGACAAAATGTCAGTGTGGGGTTTATAAATCTCAGGGAAAGGCATTATGCACTACAGGCTAAATCATGGCAGCATCTTTGCCATTTCTGCGTCAAAGACTCACATCATTTGGGTTTTGTTGTTTCCAGCCAGATCTCCTTCCTAGCCAATGAAAAACCTGTGCTCAGCAGGATGTTACTACGCTTTTAACAAACTGTGTCCCTCACTGTTGTTTCTACCCCATTTTCCACAAGCACTTGGATCTGCTGAAGTTCAAAATTATCTCTGTCATTTCAGAATCTGTATGTACAAAGAATTAAAACAACAGGAAACCAAGTAGTTATGCACTACACTGATCCAAACAACTGCACTGTAAAACTCATCCTCCACTCCCACTACCTTGTAATGATTGCTTTGTGTGTTCCAGGCATCAAGCTCCCCTAAGGAATGTGTCTATGAACACTTATGTAGAAGCTTTTATCTTATTTTATGTCATTATGCTCTTCTGCAATACAAGTATTTAAATTAAATTTATCACTGTACCTGATACTCTACTGAAGAAATACATTAAGACTAATATTTTCTTTATAAACTAACCTGGCCAGCACCAGACAAAGCTCTGACTTGAGAGAAGTTAAAGCCTGAAGACTTCATCTTCTCCAAGATCATATCCAGAGCCTGAAACAAAAAAAATAGAATCAAGAATGATTGTAACAAGCTATCAAATTATGCATACTCACAATCTGGAATTAAACAGTAAATTCATGTCATCACTGATAGGAGGAGTTCATTGGCAGATAATGAAAAATTAGCTAATGACTATGGACTTCTCAAGAAGTCGCATAAATTAATTTATTAAGTAAGAGTCCATAAAAGAAAAACTGAGTCACACAGAGGAAAATTAAGATCTTTAAAGAAGATGAATCACAAAGATCCATTCTTTGAAACCTAAATAAGAGGCAAGAGTTAAAGAATTCCAACTCACTAAAAAGCACTTTCAAGAGTGCCAGACACAAAGCGGGATTATCTTTTTCTGTTCTTACTTTTGGAAATCTCCGAAATCTTAACAGGGTGCATCCTGCACTCCATCCTACAATACATTAGTAATCTCAATACCGCTGTCTCCAGTATCAGCTAACTCACAGATTCTTCAATATAAGGCCAATTCAAGTGAATTTCAATCTAGCCTGAAGAACCTAATTTTTCTGAAGTTTAAAATCAAAAATTATTCTATCTTTACATAGTTTCACTTAGATCACCATTTCCCACCACGTCAACTACTGTGGATCACAGTAGTTCTGTGGCTGGGGTAGCTGGGGTTCTGTGACCTTTCAAATATTTTAACTATTCAAATCCCTTTAGCAAGACAGATTTACACAGTACCATGTGAGAGCAAGTGTTTCAGAACCTGCACAAAAGCAAGGAAGGCCTTGTTTTCAAATAGAAAAAAATGCTGTTCTTCAAAATAAACATCAGTGGAGGTGAGTGGGAATCCCTGAACAAAGTGCACTTTCACCACTTACCAGTTGCGACATCAATTGCTTAGCAGAGCTTATTCTAAAAAAAAAACAGTTTAGGTAACCTGGATGCTACAAAACCACAGATTTAAGCCAGGCAAAGTAAGATCTGCCCCTTTTTTGTACAAGTTAAAAAGAGGGAAAATGTGGGAAAGTCAGGAGGGCATTTCTCATACACAGAGTGCTGTAACAGTAGAGAGAGAAGAAACAAACAAAAAACACATCAAAACGTTAGCAACTTCCACTGTTTGTTGATAGCATTGCTATTTGCATACCAAAGACACAGAATAACACTTAAAAGAAACAGAATATAAGGAAAAGAACTATGCTGATTTGAGTGATGAGTTTCACTATTGCTCAGAATAAATTTCCATTTCTGTAACAGCAAGGAAGAAGGTGAACTATATAAAGCTTTTTCATACCTTGACCCACATGAGCACAGGAGAAGTGACTGTCAGTCTGTCACTGTGAATATAGACTCCACCCTGAGTCCTACAGAAAAAACAGGATTTTCTCTTGGTAAATTCTGTATTTTTTTCCCTGACAAGCACAGTTCTTCAGGATTATTAATGACCAAAGAGAATTTGCAATGGGTTTTTTTTAATGTTAAGAGCAAGGATTGGTGTTTGAAGTATGAAAAAGTAAAATCTAGCTCCTAGGAGGTGACATGTTTGACCCAATTGCAAAGTAAATAGTTTTCAAGGAAAGGCCCTGATCCTGAAGTAAGGTCTGAGATACAGTCCAGTGGTGATACTACTCATTGCTTCTGTGTAATTCATAGTTATTTCTGACTGTCACCATCTGTGAATTGAACCTCAAAGAGCAAGTTCAACTTTTGCTGTTAAACCATCAAGTAAATAAATTCATTGAAACTTGTGACTGGGGGATGACATTTGTCAATTCTAGTCTATTGCTGAAATAAACAAATATTGTCATCCTACATTTCATTATGAGATTTGGAAAAACTGAATTTGTCTCCAAGTGCCTTTTAGAGGTTCTTCTCACATAATTTTCTTGTTGTTAGGAGAGCACTCTGCCCTGACACAAAGACGGTGCTTACTTTCATGTCCCAAAAAGAAATAGTCGCGTCCATGAGTCTGAAGTCCCCAAAAAGGCAAAAAAATGGTTTATTTATGCATAATATTTTGGAGTGTATTTTCTTAATTTATTTCCTTTTGGGAGCTCTTGTCATATTTACATACAAGGAAGGCAAGAGCATATACTACCCTTGCCAAGTATGAAACATGACTATGGCATGACCTTTTTCCATGCCTCCATACATGCCAATGAGATCAAACAGTCCTCTCACCCCAATCTCCAAAGTTTTAAATTACATTATCCAAGTAAAATACAAAGAGTCTTACTTATATTCCGGAAGGTCCCTATCAAAATGAACATTATCCTCATAAATGACTCTCAGCCGTTCATCAATAGCAATGACTTTCAACTAGAAGATATAAAACAGGAAGTTAACAAAATCTAGCAATAATTAAATAGCACTGATAACTCATTTATAATAATTCAATTCCCACAGACAAAATGGAAAAAAAAAAAAAAAGATCGCCCCAATGCATACAACTTGCTGAAAGTACGGGTATAATTTTATATTAAACAAGTTATTATGTGAATGTCCAGCATGCCACCTATTCAGCAACATGTTTTTATTTGTTTGTATTCCCTCTCCTCATTTTCTTTCTCCTCTAATGAACAAGATCGAGCTGCAGGCATTTGCTAAGAGACAGCAAACAAATCACCAGGTTTGTAGCTTGCATCAGAGTAACCAGTTTTGCATTTTCTCCAAAGAATACAGTATCTGAGATTATAGATGCCATATATGCCCTTTTTCCTCCTCCTCCTTTTTTTGGCCTGATTTTACCCTTAGGGTACCTTGAGGATCTTCCCTGCTCCCCAGAGGGTGAGTAAATGAAACTCTCCCAGTCTGGCAAAGCTCAGGGGGCTTTACACAAGTGTATTCTGAACTTATGCAACACACAGAAAGTTAAGTTCACCTAGTTCAGAAGGAAAACGATAACAGTTGAGAAGAAAAGTGAGAAGTTAGCTCATGTTCTGTGCCTATTTCAACAAGGGAGACAGTGCAAAGCGCTGTTAAAGAAACAGACAAAAAAAAAAAAGAAAGAAAAAAATCCCCTAAGTCATCTTAAGGAGTTATATTTAAATAACAAGACCATCCCTATTTTTGCCATACTAAAGTAGGACCATTATCTATGCACTGGCACAGTGCACTAGCTCAAAAAATGGCTCTGACCCACTGCAGCCTAATTGGGTCTCTGCTTACAGCACATCCCCTTGAAAGCACTTGATCAACCTAACCTGGATGTGTCTTTTAAAGCTCCCAAACTTCAGCACAATAATGGTGATTTATGCTCAAACACCTGTTTTTAACATATTCAGGCCTCTGCACAACTTGGGCGGTTTCTATTCACAGTGTGGCAATACCCATATGTGTTGACAAATCAGAATTTCAAGCAGCAATCTGAGCATCCAGGTTCACAATTCTACTAGTCTTGATTCCCATGAGGAGACTGGAAAGCTGGATTTGGGTGCAAATCACAGCTCCTATAGGAGCAGGAAGAAGGATGGCCATGCAGTCTCTATGTAGAGAAGTCTCCCAGCACTCTTTTTCAGGATATTTAACACATCCCTAGCACGATGGGGAAGCAGGACACATTAGGGCATACAACCCACAGCTTCAGACATGATATGGGGCAAACAGAAAGAGACAAAGGATGTACTTATGCAGGTGAAGGAAACATGAGAACAAACAGGTTCCTACAGCGCCCATGGCACATAAACATCTTAAAACTTGAGGCAATGGGAATTATTACGGCCATAAAATAAAACACAAGAAATTCCACTTCAACATTAGGAAGAACTTCTTTACATTGGGGATGTCAGAGCACTGGAACAGGCCACACAGGGAGGTCATGGATTCTCCCTCTCTAGAGACGTTCCAAACCCAGCTGGACACATTTCTCTGTCACCTGCTCCAGGTGACTCTGCCTTGGCAGGGGGGTTTAACTGGGCTGATCTCCAAAAGTCCCTTTCACAGAATGACAAAATCAGTCAGGTTGGAAGGGACCACAGTGGGTTATATCTGGTCCAAACTCCCTGCCTAAGCAGGGTCGTCCTAAAGGGCAGGATTGCATCTGGATAGTTCTGGAATACCTCCAGTGAGGGAAACTCCACAACCTCTCTGAGCAACCCAACCATAAGGACTGTGTGTGACTGTGAATTATTTGGCATCAGCTGTGGCAAGACGCAGCGTGTGCGAGCCCCAGGCACGGAGCATCGCACCGCTCCCTGCATCCTGTGCGAGCCCTGGGTATGGACCACCGCTCCGCTCCCTGCATCCTGCGTGAGCCCTGGGCAAAGCAAATCCGCCGCTGGGAGGAGGAAAAGGGGAACGGAAGGCTCCGAGAAGGGACGGAAGCCGCCCGCGGAGGAAGGAGCGGAGAAGAGGAAGGCCTGTCCCCGCTCTGTGCTGGGGGCAGCGCAGCGGCCGCGCTGGCGGCGGGGCTGCCCTGACCGCATCCCCTGCATCCCCCCGCATCCCCCGCATCCTCCAGGGGCAGCCCCCGCTCCCATCGCGGTCGGACCCTCCTCCCGGCCAGCCCAGCCCCAGTCGGGGCAGGGCCCGGGGAAGCCAGGGCGGCCCCGGCCCCCCCGCCCTGCGCGCAGAGGGCCGGCCGAGGGAGGGGAGGGAGGGGAGGGAGGGGAGGGAGGGGAGAGCAGGGCGGGGGAGGCGGCGCGGTACCTGCTGCGTGCTGAAATCCCAGCCCAGGTAGCAGGGAGAGGCCATGGCACGGCTCGGCACGGCCCTCACCCTCACCCGGGAGCCGGGGCAGGGAGCGGGAAGGGGGTGGCTCTGCTGGCCCGGCCTCCCCGGGCAGGAGCCGCCAGCCCGGCCCCGCGGAGCGGCTGCACCGCGGTTAATGAGTGCTGGGAGCGCTGGGAGCGGCACCAGCCCGCTCCCAACCCCGCACCGAGGGGCCGGGAACTGCTCGGGCTGGGGGCGAGGCGATGGTGGGTGATGCGATGGTGGGGTGATGCGATGGAGGGGATGATGAGATGGTGGGGGTGATGAGATGGTGGGGGTGATAAGGTGGTGGGGGTGATGAGATGGGGGGATTGTTGTCCCGAACGCGAGCTTGTTCCCCTGTTCGCAGCACCAATTCACAACACCGAGGCGAGGTATTTCTGTATTTTACTCTAATTTGCACAAAGTAGGGCGCTAGGTGGTAACACACAAAAGCCTGGCTCACCGGTCATCAAGACTTTACATTATTAATACATTTTAACAACCAAGGCATCAGCTTTCATTGGTTACAATTTACATAACTTTTCTATTGATTAGTACTCCACCCCGTATTCTTTGTTATATCTCGCGCTTCTCATACCAATTAGTCCACAAGCACAGTTCTTCCCTTCGTTTCAGTCTGGGGTGTGCTTTGAGTAGGTGGTCAATGAGTCCGTGGTCATGATCACCCACTGTCTGAATTATTTATCCTTCTGGAATTGCTCCTGCTGACTTCACTCCTGGTGGCTCTTGTTCATCTTGGGATTGTCTTCTCTTTTTGCTTAAAACAACAGATTAGCCAAGCATTCGAAATTCACAATGCAACTGCTTAATCATAACTGTCCAGCTACAGCTTCAGATTAACAACTAAAAAAAAAAAAATAATAATTACAAAGTTTGACTCAAACCCTTATTCAAATCTTGAGGGGCTCAGTATCAGGATGATGTGATGGCCAGATGATGTGATGCTGGGTTACCCTGTGCCAGGGCTGTGCACTGGCTGCTGAGCACCAGTAACCAGTGCCCATAACATGTGGATCACTTGGGCCAGTGAGATAATGTCATGCAAGGACTGCCCAGGAATCAGAACCAAAACAAAACAAGCAACCTCAAACCACAGACCAAAGGAATTCATGAAATTTTAATATCCCATTACTATGTAGCAGCCGTGTTGTGGTATCACACTCAGATCAGTGTAAACACACACACAGTATTCCATTAAAAAACACAGAATTGGTTCTTTGGCTGAAGTTTTGTTTCCTAGTTTGCCTTTTTTCAGCTGTGAGGGTTGGAGAGGTTTTAGGTTTCTGTGTTACCTGCCATAGTATGTGACAAGCAAAGTGAAATTGCTTAATCAAAAGAAGGGTCATGTAAAATACACTTCCATTCTGCAATCAAGGCAGCATCTCAGCAGAGCTTTAATGAAGTCAAATAGGTTTTGCATGCCCAGGATCATAAACTGTATTAACAGTGCAAATACTTAATTTGAAATGCCCTTAAAATTATAATAAAAAATTTTCTCATATACTGAACATTTTAAATAAACCCACTGATTTCTCAAAGCCCCAGCTCTCGGGAGTTTATACTTTTAAGATTTCTGGTTATTACTGCAAAGAAGAAACCTTTAAAACATTAATGGCCATCAGGTAGTGGTGGAATTTCCCTTCTCCTAAGGGGAAGGAGCTCGTGCTGGATGAACCTGTTCTGAACAAAGGTCTCACTTAACCAGGGGCTGTGAAGGAAATAATGTTTTTGAAATGTTACCAAGAATGGTTTCCGTAGTGTAACTTATACCAGAAGACAAAGGATCAAATAACACATAGAGGCTGGTTTTTTTATTAATGCAGAGTGTGACTGATGAGCCAGGGAGGAGAGGCTTGCTTGGCCCTTTCATTGGCTGCATATTCCCTATAAACAAGTAACAGATTCAGAGGCTGAGGCTTGAAATGCTGCAATTTTCAGAAGGTAACTACTTGGAAGAGAAACTAAAGTCAGTTCTGAAGAAAGCTGTAAGAATGATAAATGACTTCAGAAAAAGAAACAGTGGATTGTAACTTTTTTCTTTTTTTTTTAGAGGAGGTATTGGCTAGTAGAAAAGAAACAAGACTTTATAAATATAGCAATCTTACAAGGATGTGAGAATCAGTTGTATTCTTCAGCAATCAGATCAGAAGAATAGTCTCAATTAACAAGAAATCATTTGACTTAAACAGCAGAGAAAAGTTGGGGAATAACCACTCTCATGTTATTAGATCTCCTTAAATTAGGAACAAGGGCAACAAGACAATTCAGTAGGAAAATTCACCAGAGGACAAAGTGGGAATGTTATTGTTACTACTTTCACTTTTCCTGTTTTTCAAAAGAAAATGAGGAAACTTGGAGAACCAGTGCCTTACCCAGTCACTCTGTTGCCCATCCTCCCATCAAGGCAGGGTTCTCTCAGATTTATTGTTTGTGTGTGGAAAATGTGCATTGCTGCTGTTCTTTCTGCATTCAAGTTTCTTGAAAGCAAACAAGGTTTAGGTCTGCATTTATCAGTGAAGTTGCATTCATGTACTAGCGATGTTTTAGCGCTGACAAATCCAGAATTTCCAGAGGGGACGGACAAAATGCCGTTTATAATTGAAATGTCACCACTGCAGATTAACAGCTTGAGGCAAAGCACAGATTAATCACTCAAGACACACAGAGCAGAGTAAAGGGAAAAGTGAGTTTATTCCACTTTTCCTATTAACTAGTTTCTGGCCTGATGGAGAAGCAATACTTCCATGCTCTCCTAGGCCCTTGGCTATCTAGATAAATTATAACTAGTATGCCAATTAGAGCTTTTTTTTTCTCCCCCCACTGTCAAGTTAACTGCAACTGCACATTTATTTCAATCCATTGCAAAACAGAAATTAACTGTATTCCACATTCCTACATAGTGAGGTTTTTTCACTTTTTATTTTCACTTCCAGTATCAAAACGTGTCTCTGATCTCAGCTGCAGCCTGATATGAGTTTAGGCTTAATTGCATTCTTCAGCTTTGCACAGGGGAACTCCTTCAGAAACAGTGATAGCCCAACTTCCAGGCTTCATTATCATCACATCATCTGAGACATGCCAACAAGCTAGAGAGCAGCTAGTCCAGACCTTTGATATAAATTAGGATGACTATACTGACAGCAGTCCAGCTATCCTGATTTATACTGGCTACATAATTTAATGGGGTGTGGAAGTACTCACACCTTCACAGGAAGTTACAGAAGTCCGTGGGCAACTGCAAAGCTACCAATCTTTCTACTTCCAGCAGCACACTTTGGGCACCTAACTAGTTATTTTAAGTAGCGGGGCAGGCAAGTATTTCTAAGCCCCAAACAGGTATTTTACATTTGTACAGCAGCATCGGCTAGCACAGCAGAAGCAATGGGACAGGTAAGAGTTGTTGCACATACAGAGATCAGTTATGCACATGCAATAAGCCACAGCAGCCCATGTTAGATGTTGGCATCATTAGGTCTGCTGGCACAATTATCCTTTTTCCTAATAAGAAAACTTGTAGCTCTTTAATTAGCCTCAGAAACATCAAACATAATAAGCTGGGTCAGATATATGCCAGCCTTTTCGCCAGGTAACCTTAGAGTCACGTGCACTGCTGCTAATGAGGTGGGATATGTTTGCAATGTTAAGCTCCAAGTAACAACAATAACACATTAACACATCACCTTAAAGACAGAAAAAAAAAAAAACAGCCTGAGCACTGGACCTGCCTGCTGGAACGATATCTGAACAACAGCAACGCTCTAAAGGTCATTTCCCTTCTACTTAGCATTTCAAGTGCTCTTATCACAAAATCTCCATCAATGTTTAACCAAGAGAATACAAAATACCACAGTACCCTAAATTAAAAGATGACATTCCTGATCTTTTTATTGAGATGGCATTATAACACCAAAAATGTTTTCCTTTCCCTAAACATGCACTTACCTGTTGAGGTTACTTTTGCGCACAATCTTGGGGTAACCATTATGATTGTCCATAACTCCAAATGCTGTGGAGAGTTTTGTTATTCCCTCAGCAAGAATAAGCACTGGATGTCTCAAAGCAATGGATCGAGGTCTGTTATCCACGGTAGTTTCACTGACTGTGCTGGGAATGCCTGAATACAAGGAAGAACTTTACTGTGCGGGTGACCGAGCACTGGAGCAGACTGCCCTGAGTGGTTGTGGACTCTCCCTCACTGGAGGTATTTCAGAACCATCTGGACGCAATTCTGTGCAATGTGCTGTAGGAAAACCCTGCTTGAGCAGGAAAGTTGGACCATAAGACCCACTGGGGTCCCTTCCAACCTCACCCATTTGGTGATTCGATGAAAGTGTGTACAAAGATCCAGCAAAATCCCTGTGCATGAGTTCCACAAGAGGAACCCAGAGCGCAGTTGTTCCTCGGAGACTGAAAACATAGATTATTTAAGTACTGTAATGATTCCACAAACTTATTGGTCGATTTCATTTTTTGACATGTGCATATTCAAAGTCCCAGGTGTGGTACTGCATTGGCAAATTGCGGCCCTTTACAGAGGCCGCGTGAGGAACTGGGGCAGGATTCCATATAAAAGCATATACCAGCACACGGAACAATGGGTACAAGAAAAGAATTTAAATGAAGGCTCAACTACACAATCTCAATTATACCATCAGTTTCATAGGTACTGGTCAATTTGCAGCTTTTATTCAATCATGTACATAAAATCCTCCAATTTCACTTCTATTGAATTCAGTAGAACATGTGCTGACTTCAGTGGGTACTGAATCAGGCACTGTGGAATTGTATCTGGTTTTACATACTTTAGTTTTACAGATGTAATTTCCTTGACTCAATTAAGCTACCAGTGATTATGAAGTGCAGTACAAATTCCTCATGAGATTTCTGCATGGAAGTGAAGTGAAGGATGTTGCTGAATAACAAATTATTTTTAGGAGACTTTTCTTCTCTGCACAGATTTCAAGTCCATATTCATTCTCACAATAGTAATAGTACTTAACCATCCTCTTTGGAGGACTATCTTAACTATAGCCATTTTCAAGCCTTATTAAAGTTAACTTATACACCCATCAGATTTCCTTGAAGATGAACACTGAAGTGGTTTGTGTCCTAATGCTCAAAAGCAAATATCTCGGGAGCAAGATGTTGTCATCCAGATAAAACTTTTCATTAACAACAGATTAACCAGTTCTTTCACGCTATACTTGATTCTTATCAAACTCCACTTACAGATAAGTACATTTTATTGATTAAAAGCAATCAAAGATAAACTCATTCCTACTCAAACAATGGCTGAAGTGGAGACCAATAAGGGGAAAATCTTGCACTATTCAGCATCATCCTGCAAGGATCAAAAATCTTTTTGGAATCAGGAATGAATCAAAATCCTGTAGTTTTCAGGTAGAAAAATCAAGGCAGAAAAGTTATACAGCTTATCCAATTTGGTTTAGACACTGCTTGAAATTCTCACAGAGTTCCTATACACATATCACATCTATTGGGAGAAC